TCTTTTCTCTAGCAGCTTTCAATATATTATTCTTGTGCTGAATTTCTGGGATCTTGACTATTGTATGTCTCGGTGTGTTTTTCATTGGATTGAGGAAAATTTCATTTCTTAACGGAAGTTTGTCCTTCAGGATATCATAAATTTGGAGAATAGTCAAGAGTGAGTAGTATATGTTAGCACTAGACACTCTAGTGCTTCAGAATATAGGCTGTCCATGAAGGAGCAAGTGGAGGTTGGGTGGGCGGCCTTGTGTTGTGCCAGAGAGCAAAGACATATCCCTGATCTGTGTTAAAGTGAGGCTGGAGCCTTGGGCTCTCGGGTTACCTAGCAGCGGAATGAAGAGGAGTTCAGTGAATTGAGAAAAAGGCTCTGAGTTTTGCAGCCCATGTATTGTACATCACACTCACCATTTCCTTGGAGGAAGTGTTCTATAAATTTGTCAAATGTCTCAGGCGTCTTGATAATAGTCATTTTTTTCCAGAAGGCATAAGCAGACACAACAACATCTCTGGGGTTCCTAATGCAATAAATCATCTGAAATGAAAAAAAAGCAATTATGTAAAAATTCAAGTGTCATTTCCCACAAGATGTTGATCTTTATCTCAGCATTTTCTACAAAGTGTCTATTAAATATCATAGCTTATATTGTCAAATACCTATAAGCGCTTTGAAATCAATTACACATATTAAAATATTATGAGTTGGCTACCACAATAGACATGCATAAGGAGAAAATTTGAATGTGTGCTCCTCCAGTGTTGTCTGTCTACTCATTCTGTAAATCTACTGTAAGGTTTCCACTGTGCTAAACAAATGAGACATGTAGTAAAATAGGGATTATTTTCTATGTTTCTCAATATAGTTTAAGAAAAATTTTTAAAATTCAGAATATACCACAATGTGGGCGAGAATATTTCAAAAACTGGAACTTGGAATGCTAGATCCTGGATATACCTGTTTCCTTCAGTGTTGATCTGTCAGCCATATGACTAGTGTGAGTGGTTGCTTATCTCAACAGACAGATGTATGCAGGAAGACACAGTGGTTAGAAAAAAAAACTTGACTCCGCACAACTCACTTGGTCATAGGTCAGTGTGGGAACCTGTTACTTCCCATATGAACAATTCTGACCTTATTTTGCAGAGAAGGGAGTAGAGGTGTTGCAGGATTAGGGAGTCTGTAGAATCCATGGGAAAAATAGGATAACTTAAGAGATGTACCCATGGCAAAGGTAACTTGGTTTCCAAAGATCTGAATGCTGAGCCACTGACTAAGCTACTGTTTTACATATTTGATCAGTTGGAGTTGTTCCTTCTAATATCATGAAATTGTGAGTGGGCAATTTTCCAGAAGGAAAAGACAGGCAGTTTGATGAGCTCTGACAGTTTTGTAATATATCTTGGTGGCCTTTTTTGCACAAAGGAAAATGATATGGGAATAGAATCTTATTGCATTTGCTTAGAGCATCAAATGTTAGTGCTTGGATTTTTTCCTAGAGAAGAAAATGACCACTTTAGGTATGGAGAAGTTTGGGGAAACTTGATGTTTTCTTTCTAAGTCCTGCTCTATAGAGACGCATTGTTTGTGACTGGATGATTACTTTATTATCTGGCATCAAGGGGAACAATCACTTATCCCATAGAAATAAATGCTCGCTGGCCTTATAATGTAAGTTTCTAGGACTTCAGATTTATTCTTCCACTGTACTCTTTCAATGTGTCTCATCTGTGGAGACTTCTTTAAAGATGTGAAATGTTCCACATAATTTTGTTCAAGTATTGCCTAAAAGATAGACAAAGCAGCAAAAAGTAATGAAAGAGAGTGTTACTTTCCACCCTGCTCTAACTAATAAGAATGCATCACTTTCCAACGTCTCAGGGACACTTCGGCATATGCCAATTAAAATGCATTGGTTTGGAGTCCAGGCTGTAAGAGCTAAGTTACTGAACACAGGGCCTTCTGAATGTGCTGGCAATTATCATAGGCATGATGCTGTGAGGTCAAGATAACTGCAGCTGGGGCAGCAAAGGATACATGATGCTCACATTCCATATTGGAAAACAATAGAGCTGCCAAATTTTGAGATCAAATAATCTTCTCAACTGGCACAATTTACTGTTTGGAGAAGTCTTCAAACTCACTCATAAGTTCCTGTTTAGTTTCTGGGCTTGCCTCAGTATCCTCTTCAATTGTTTGGGAATCAAATAAATATGGGCCACTCAGAGTTGTTTGTCTCAATCTCCTCAAAAACTCTAATTTCTTTAGTTTAGAGGTTTTTCATGATATTGGAGAAACTTTTCTAACCAGTAGATACTGACCTTGGCTTTAGAACTGAAGAAGGACTTGGGAAAGAGTTGGATGGGCAGGTGGGATGTGTACATGCGTGGGCCCTTGTGATCACTCAGTGATGCATATCCAACTGTAGTTTCCACCCAGGGAAAACGGTCCCAGCTGGGTACTTCTTGGATCCACTTGGGATCCCCTTTGGAATGAATCAGGCTGAGAATCTCTATTAACCAGTTTGTTCCTGAATAAAGAAGGGAGAAGAATGGTCACTGATGTCAACACGAGTTTTACAAACAATTCTGCTGAAATATGAACAACATAAAAGTAAATTTGTAGCCATTATTAGGTGTATGTTACAGTTCTGCTAATTCTTTTTTAGTATTATGTAATTGGTGCTCAGTGTCCCAATTTTTTCACGCTAAGAAAAGTGACACACTTTCAACTTCATAAACAAGAGTCCCTTGTGACCCAGATTTACATCCTAATATTATAAGCATTTCGCAATCTATTTCTATGAATTTGAGTAGTGTATGTTATATAAATGGGATCACATAATAATTCTTTGCTTGTGATGTGATTAATTCAATTTTCTTAATGACCTCAAGATTCTTCTATGTTGTGCCATCTGTTAAACTTTTGTTTCTGATCCCATAATAGGATCTTGCGGATAGCTCAGTTGTTTAAAGTGCCACTTGGGCAAATGCAGTCAGGTGCATAGGATGGCAGTTTAACTCCCAGTTCCAGAAGGAGCTCACCTTCCCTGAATGCCTGAAGTAGCAAAAAAATTCTTCTCTGATCCCATAATGTTCCATTGTGTGCATATTTAACAATCTAATTATGAATCTATCTGACAATGGATATTTGAGTGCCAGTACTCTGAGATATTTATGTGATTTATTTGGCTTTTGGTAAATGCCTTTTACTAAAATCACTTCATCCCTGGCTCCTGAATGCCATATGTCTTCCAAAGTCACCTCCTATCAATTCCACTACATACTATATTTCAGGTCAAAACTCTGTGGTAGTATTCCCTTCTTCTATTTCTGTGGTAACTTAGAGGACCCCTCTGAGGAAAATTTATACCTGTGAACTCACACATTAGGAAAACAGAACAGGTATGGGAACAAATAAACACTGTCATGCTACACCTAAAATACCTACAAAAGGAAGAGTAAAAAAACCCTCAGAATTTAAAGACTGGAAGAAATCATAATGATTAGAGCAGAAATTAATTCAATTGACATGAACAAAACAATTCAAAGAATTAACGAATCAAAACACTGGTTATTTGAAAGATTAAATAAAATTTATCAGGCCCTAGCTAACCTCATCAAAAAGAGAAAAGAAAAAACTCAAATACAAGCAACAAGGAATGAAAAGCGTGTAATTACCACAGAAGCAGTGCAAATTCAGAAGATCATCAATAGCTACTTTGAGAATATTTAACTCACATAATAGAAGATTAAGAATAAACGGACAGATTCCTAGAAAGGTGCAAATTACCAAAACTGAATTAAGAAGATACAACAACTCTCTATAACACAATAATATTCTATGAAATCAGAAATGTAATAAAAAGAAAAACTTACTGACAAAGAAAAGTCCTGCTCCTGATGAATACACAGCTGAATTCTACAAAAAATTTACAGAATATATAATCCCAATGCTCCTAAAACTCTTCAGGGAAATTGAAAAAGAAGCAATCATCCCAAAATCATTCCTGGACACAAGAATTGTACTGATACTGAAACCAGGGAAAGACACACATGAAAATGAGAACTACAGGCCAATCTCTTTCATGAACATGGAAGCAAAAATCCTCAATAAATACTAGGATATAGAATACAGCAAATTATCAAGAAGATTATATTCCATGAGCAGGTAGGATTTATCCCAGTGATGCAACAATAGCTCAGTATATGCAAATTCATAAATATAATACACTATATCATTAGAGCCAAATATAAAAACCACATGATCATCTAAGTCGATGGAGAAGTCTTTTGACAAAGTCCAACTCTCATTCATGTTCAAAGTCCATCAGAAAATTAGAATAGATGGCCTCTACGTCAATATAATAAAAAGCAATTTGTGACAGCCCAACAGCTAACATAATTCTAAATGGGGAAAACTGAAATCTTTTACTCTCAGATCTGCTACAAGACAAGGTTGACCTCTATCACCGCTGTTCTTCAATGTAGTTCTGGAAACATTAGCTAGAGACTTTAGACAAGAGAGAGAAATAAAAGGAATTAGAATAGGTAAAGAAGAAGTTAAAGTATCATTGCTTGCAGATGACATGATACTTTACTTGGGAGACCAAAAAACTTCACCAAGAAGCTACTACTAGAATTAATACACTAACTCAGTAGCACAGAAAGATAGAAATCAATACCCAAAAGTCAGGGTCATTCCTGTACACAGATAACAAACACAATGAGAGGGAAATTAGAGAAAGAATACTTTTGCAATAGCAACACCAAAAATGAAATACTTATGAATTAATCTAACTAAAGAAGTCAAAGATCCATTGAATGAAAATTACAGTACTCTGAAAAAATATATATATA